AGTCAGGAGAGCCCAGGGCTCTTCAGTCACTCAAAGAGATCCTGGAGAACAATCTCTCTGCAGGAAACCAGACACAACGGCTAATGTGATCTAACAACTCCTAAGTCTACACAGTGTGTGTCTCCAGCCCACAGAAGGGGGTGTTTGTGTGTGTGTGTGTGTGTGTGTGTGATTTTAAGGCGCTGAACAACTTGGGCAGTCATTACACAGTGATGGATAAACAGTATCCTAGCCCTGAACCTTCAGGTGTTCCAGTACATGCAGGGCACCTGTACTTTAGAAGGCACCACCGATTTTTAGCTATATGTCAAAACTTCAACAAAGCACTGTGCTCCTTTTGTTTGGTGTCTTTATTCAATTGGACTTCTGAACTGTTTAGTCTTTGAAGAACTATTGTGTGATTCTACATGCCCTACATGGGATTGGATGAGTTTTTGTAAATGGAAAGTCTTACTGTTTCTGCTCAGGCGGATGGGAATTTTAATTGGGTTATTTAGACAATGGATCTTCAGGCATCTTGAACTTCAAGAGCTTTTAGCAAATTGCAGTGGTTAAAGTGTAAGAGAGAGTGTGTGTGAGTCTGTGTGTAAGCAGATAAAAAAGTGGGCAGCACAGAAACTTCTCCATAGAGGCACAGGATGAGATGGAGACATCCATGGCAGTTCAGTGAAGTAATAGGTGAAAATTACTTTTGACATCACTGGATACTGTTTTGAATACTATAGCAAGAGTCTTTTGGCAGAGTTCCTGTTTTTTAAATAATTCATTTAACTTTATGCTATGTGCACTGGTGTAAGGGGGGTGTCAGATCCCCTGGAACTGGAGTTACAGTTTTGAGCTGCCATGTGGTGCTAGGAATTGAACCCGAGTCCTCTATTGAGGCAGCCAGTGTTCTTAACTGCTGAGCCATCTCTCCAACTCTGAGTTCCTATTTTTAACTAGATACATTCATTTTGTGTCAGAAAGAACTGATCTAACATGGCTTGAACTTTTGTGAGAGGAGAGAGAAGAGAGTGGTGAACTTGACAGCTTTGCTACACAAGAGTTTTGAAAAGATGTTGGACTGTGAGTGTGCGTGCACACATGCGTGCATTACAGGCAACTGGGAGCTGACAACAAGTTAGGTCCTATGAAAGGGCAGTACACACTCTTCATCTCTCAGTGTCCCAGTACCCCAAAACCACCTTCTTTTGTTTTTTCAAGACAGGGTTTGTGTGGCCCTGGCTGTTCTAGAACTCACTCTGTAGACTAGGCTGGCCTTGAACTGAGAGATCCCTGCCTCTGCTGGTATTAAAGGCATGTGCCACCATGACCCAACCAAACTTTTAAAAAAAACAGTAGCAGCAGCACATTATTATGACACACTTGTGAAACTGAGAGGACACACACACACATGCCAAGGTAATTAGCCTACTCTGGACCTGTAGAAACTTATATAAAGAATTTAACAGTTTGAGGGCAAGGATAACATCAATATAATATGTACAGATGAGATTTGGGATTGAAATATTTATTTTTGAATAGGTCCTATAGGTCCATCAAAGTCATAAAGTAGACTTGCTGCTCCTTAAAATACCAGGTCTGGGGCTGGAGAGATGGTTCAGTGGTTAAGAACACTTCCAGAGGACCTGGGTTCGACTTCAGCACTCATATGACAGTTTACAACTGTAACTTCAGCCCAGCACCCTCTTCTGGCCCCAAGGGCACTGAGTGCATGAGGCACACAGACACACATACACATAAACAAAATACACAGGTGTGGGGCGGAGCTGGATCCATGATGGCTCAGCAATTACAAGCACTGGCTGCTCTTACAGAGGACCCGGGTTCAGTTCCCAGCACCCACATGGGGACTCACAACTCCTGTTCCAGGGGATCTGACATCATCTTCTAGCCTCCATGGGCACTGCACACGAGTTGTGTGTGTGTGTGTGTGTGTGTGTGAGAGAGAGAGAGAGAGATCCCTTCCTTAGCTCTGTCCAGTTGGGAGAACTGGCTATGCAGTGCTGCTTCCACGCCACGGTGGGAAGTGCATCCAGGAAGCCCTGGAGGCTCAGGCTCCCCTTCAGACTTGGCACACACCCTCCCTACTGCATTCCTCCACATTCTGAGCCCATCCTCATACTTTAGATTCCCTTTCAGCCAATAGGTGCAGACCAACCTCAGCCAGATCACACCAGTCTAGTCAAAGCCACACAGGGGGGTCCCAGCCTACCAGCCTACTTAGAATGCTCTAGAACCAGGCCCTGGTGAGGCAGCTTGTTCTGTGCACAGGCAGCAGCCACAGGAGCAGACTGTGCCAATCCTTGGGGTAAGAGGATGTGTTTAGTATCTGTACTCATGGCTCCTCCTCCTGCCCTGAGGTCACTGGGCTGGCTTTCTGATCTCAGCCTTTGATCAGATCATTCACAAGGGACAGGGAAAGACAAGATGAGACCACACTAAAATGAGGTCTTTTGGATGAACTTTCCACAGGGTACAAGCCATTGCTAATGGGTGTGGGACGGCATGGGTTTGCTTGATTGGAGTGATGAAATGAGTATAATGTGAGGTGTCGGTCCATGACAGACAGAGAAACTTACGGTGTTACTCTGTGGAGTCTTCTTACCAGTTGCTGGTCTTTTCAGTCAGAAGTTTGGTCTTGTTAGGAGGCAGCTACTCAGTACTCTGCCAACTATTGACACCTGTCACCTACCAGTCACAATAGGTGATGGAAGTTAACAGCCAGCAGAGCAGATGAAATACCCATTAAAGGTGGGGGGTCACAATCCAATCCAACTCCTCCTCAGGTCCCTGGAAGCTACCTTGACCAATTTCCTGGGGTCTTCAGAAGGCTGTAAAATGCTCTGACATCCTAAAGTACACAAAGAACCTTAAAATGACCTTGCTTAGAGAAACAGAAGCTACTGGCTGCTGTCCTGCACATGCCTAGCGTTTCCATTTGAAGAGCAAGCTGTGCCCCGTCTCACTTCTGCCTAGATGTCCCGGATGTCTTTTAGAATTTGTATGTATAGGTATTTTGCCTGAATGTCTGTGTAGCTTATGGTGGAGGCTAGAAGGGAGTTGGATTCCCTAGAAGTTAGAGATGGTTGTGAACCACCATGCTGTTGCTGGGAACCCTCAGGACGCCCTCTTTTACCTGGGACTAAAGGCAAAAAGTTGAGTTCCCACTTTGTGTTCAGGTGGTGTCAGATGTGTGAGCCATTTCAACAGCCCCAGTTCTGTTATTAAAAAATAAGTATGGGGGTTCAGAGGCTAAAAGCATTTGTTGCTCTTGCAGTAGACCCCATGAAGACCATTCTCATTCAAACGACCAAAGCCCCCCTCCCTTTCTGGCTCTCCTCTAGCTGCTGCAACTCTCTGTCCAGGGCCCCACATGGTAATAACAAAATGTGCTTGGGTACTGATGGACCGCTGAAGGATGGGTACCCAGGCCTATCTGCATAAGCTGAAGATAAACTCCTCCCACTAAAGACTGAACACAAACTTGGACAAATCATTATAATCAGGTAGACATCTCTTTTAGCCCCGTGAGAATGCCTGAGAAGTTCAGGTCTTGAGTTCTAAAAGGGAAATTAGACATAAATGACACAAAGGCTGGGCATGTAGTGAGAGAACATATATAATAGTGTCTGTATGATCATCAAGGGCTGTGAAGGGAAGTTTCTGTCCTGCCCAATCCCACAGCCCCTTAGTCCCAAATAAACACATGAAGGCTTAATTATAACTGTTTGGCCAATGGCTCAGGCTTCTTATTGGCTAGATCTCTCTTAATTAACCCATTTCTATTACTTTATGCATCTCCACATAGTCTTGGCTTACCTGAGAATGCCCCAGCGTCCTACCTTCATGGTAGCTACAGGGCATCTCCTTGGCAACCCACTCTCTGCCTTTCTTTTCCCAAAATTCTCCTAGTCTGGTGATCCCACCTATACTTCCTGCCTGGCTACTGGCCAATCAGCATTTAATTAAACCAATAAGAGAAACATATATTCACAGCATACAAAAGGACATCCCCCATCATCTCTTTTCTGTCTAAATAAAAAGGAAGGTTTTATATCCTTCTGTATGCTGTGAATACATGTTTCTCTTCTTGGTTGATGATTAGAGCTGTTTTGGCCAATAGCCTGGCAGAAAGTAAAGACTGAAGGGCCATAGGACCGGGCAGGACAGAAACATCCATCTACATGTGGTGCCCAACATCAGGCATGAACCCATGACCCTGAGATTAAGAGTCATGCTCTGCCAACTGAGTTAGCCAGGCTTTTTCCTAGTCTGGTAGCCCTGCCTATATTTCCTGCATGGCTATAGGCTAAAACAGCTTTATTTATCAACCAATTAGAGAAAGAGTCACAGCATACAGAAGGACATCCCCCATCAGAGGGCAGAGCTAGGGACAAGGTCTAGAGAAGCCCTCCATGTCACAGTCCTGGGGCCCAGGAGTTACCTTTTCCCACCCCCTTCAGTGTTCATACGGCCAAAGAGGCACAAAAAGGCAAATGTGGCTCCCCTGGATGTAGCATGGGCTGTCACCACAGAGCCTGCTAGCCTGTCTTTCACCTTAAACTGGTTTGGAGAGACTCAAAAAGGCAGACAAGAGATGGAGTCCTGGAGCTCTACTGCCTCCCTCCTGGGTCCTGACAGCGTGGAGATCAGCACATCTCTGGATCCTGACAGTGGTGACGTGGAGGTCAGCACATCTCTGGTAGACTGCAGGCCCAGCTTAGTATCATCCACCTTCTCCTTCACCCCTCTTGTGCACCTGATACGTTCTTTTCAGAAAACTACATTTGTCACAGGGCTGGGGAGGCCATGGGTACCTTGCCCAGAGCACACACAGGGGAGGCAGTGTTCCCTCTGTGACCTTTCATATAAATACAGAGGATCCTGTGAAGAAAACCTACTTTTAAGAAAAGCGCATGCTTTACTTAGGGTCGAGGATTGCATATGTTCACAGTGGCGTGTAGAGGTCATTCATGAAAACGCTTTCTTTCCTTCAGTTGTGTCTGTAGGTCTCAGGTTTGGCGGCAAGCGCCTTCACCAGCCCTAGAAAGCCTGCATGTGACAGGTTAAGACATCAGCACCCAGCTTCCCCTAAGACGTAAGCTGAGCTCTGCAGAACTACCTCCCACTTTAAAGCAAGAACAAGAGGCATAGTGGATTTCTCAGCCCTTCCACCTGGTGTGTGAGAGGCAGAAATGCACTTGAACACGGTGCTTCTTGCACTCGGCCAAGGGAATGAAAAGGCTGAGTTGGCAGCAGTTTCTGTCATGAAATGAAACCCGCAGGGGGAAGCCAAACTCAAGCAGAATATGAAGAAATCACCCAGGAAGCTCTTGATGTCATGTTTGAGAAGCTTTTATAAAATGATACAAAATACAGCAACACACAGAACAAACCCCAGGTATGTCAGTAACGATACAAAGGTGGTAACCAGTCCAACAGCTTTTGGGCTTTCCCACTCACCCCCGCCTCCACCTTACCCTACCACTCACCCCCACCTCTAGTCTCACCCTACAGAGTCAGGTTCCAGGAGCAGATCTGCCTGGTGTGAGTCCAACCTCCTGCCAGCTGCTGGCTGATTTCAGTGAGGACATGGTGTCCTCAGGATCACTGATGCATGTGCTTAAAAAAGCACATCGGTAGTTCAAGAGCTAAGTCCGGCTGACCAAGGTGTCACACATCTGGGATCTTGGCACTCAGGTGGCAGATAGGAGGCAGACCCAAGTTTGAAGCCAGCCTAGTCTAATAAAGAGACCTCCCTTACCTCACTAACAAAACCTATTTTCGGATGAGTCTACACTACTGACCCAAAGACCTTGGCATCACCAAGACCTGTGACAATAAAGAGACTGAGTGGAGCAGATGCTGCTCCCAGGGGACCCTCTACCATCGACCACACTTTCATCTCTAAAGAGAACCCCTTACCCCTTTGATGGAAGTGCTTGCTAATCTTAAATAAAAAGGCGATGCTATGAGGAAGAAGTAACAGTATAAGGAATAAGGATGCCAGCAGCAGGACAGTGGCTGCCCACTCTCGGAGAGAGAGCACAGCTGGCTCAGGACTAGTAGAAACCTTCAGTGAGAGAAGCCACATTCTCAGCCTCATGCTTCTCCCCTGGCAGCCCAGTGCACAGGAGACATCACAGTAAGGCACTCGCCACACTCATCTGGGCCGAGGGAGGGGAAGCCAGTCCAGACAACATGCAAGTTCAGAAGTTGTGACACCAACGCTCCCTCAATGGGCCTGCTGACACTGCCCTTGCAGTTAGCAGGTGCTGAGGCCTTACAGTCTGCAGAACCTGTGAGTATGCTGGCTGGCTGGCTACATCAGGTCCTTGTACTGGCTGGTCCCCCATCGGCTCTGGCTCGCTGGCGGTCGTACTTCACGGACACGATGAGGAAGAGCAGCAGTGTAGCTCCCTGGATGGCAGCCAGCAGGAAGAAATAATAATGCAGGTGGCAGCTGTTGATGTTCCCTAGGAGTGAGCAGACGCATCCTGGTGAGTGCACTCCATGGACAGGGCACCTTCGCATGGGCTCTTGGCCACCTGAGAGAGCACTCTGCACTAGCCGCCTCCCTCCCAGGGGTTATCCCATCTGGGTGAAAGGAAGGAGGGAAGGCAACTGTCCTGGCCTCAGCTCTGACATGGGAAGATCGCCCTCAAGGTTGCGGAAGGCTTGTAAGGTCAGCTCTGACCTCTCGGAGAAGGTTCGTGATGGTAACTTGCATTCTGTCTCCTCCAGACAGACAATGTGGAGAGAAGCCCCCTGTTCCTGACTGCGTTGTCTAGGTCACGGCACTGCCTTCTGACATGTTCTCCTGTCACTCCACTGAAAGCCTCTGTCTATGTTCAGCACAGAGCAACGCTTCTGAGGACGGACTAAGCCCATACCTCATTTCTCTCATCAAATGCTGCAGGGTGCTGAGCACAGGCAGCATGAGGACATTACCTTCCTACTAGAGCAAGACAGATGTTTTTTCAGGTCTTAACTTTCAAGTCTCACACACTACCCAGGTAATCCTGACTGCTGTAATACACACACCTTGGTCTCACTATAAAAGCAGCAGCACAGGTTAGGACCACAGGCCATGGAGCTCAACAACTGGGCTGAAAGGTATGAGCCCATGGTCTCCACTGTGACTCTGCACCTGTAAGGACTCAGGGCTGTGAAGCAGTGCCAACTGCAATGCTATCCACTCGGCATGGTGGCTTCTGTAAAACACGGTTCCTCAAGAACCACTCAAAAGGTCCAGCACCACCACTACTCAGCACTGACCTAGGACCAAGATACATGACAGAGTGGCAGGATGACCACCTAGCTCCTGTCCCCATGAGCCACAGGTATCATGTCACCCGGGGGCTGTCAAGTAGCACAGCCATACTCTCGGTGACTTGTCTCGCAAAAGGGAACTGGTACACAGCCAGTGCTGTGGCTGGAAGCTGCTGCGCTTCCTGACACTTCAAAAGCAGGTTCTAGTGTTTATTCAGAAGGTGAGACTTCCTCCTCCTGACCTCTTTTAATAAGCATTAGGTTACTCTACACACCCTCTTACTATCTGAGCAGATGCTCATTAGCATCACATGTGCTCCCACAATACAGATATGTGCAAGATTCTGATCCAGAAGGGAGGACAAAGGCCCTAAGTCTGCCCTTAGGAAAGAGCCCTGTTACTCTGAACCTCACAGACCAAAGACTGATTCAGTCAGTAAATGGAAACTAGCTCTGCCTGCTCCCTTGTGGTCAGTGACACACTCATACTCCAGGACCTATCTCCTCTGTAACTACAAGAGATGGGCACTTGATGCAAAAATTACATGTACCAATGATGTAATTTTATGTGCAGTGTTGAAGCTGGCAGGACAAGTGGGCAGTGTGATTATGTTCACACTGTTAGCCCCAAAGCAGAAAGCATAGCACAGCTTACCAGGCACAGTCTCATTTGGGAATGTGCAGAGAACTCAAACATGGACCTATCACCCAAGAAGCAGCTGTCCTGGGTGGTCACAGACAGAACAACATTACAAACACAACAAACAGAAGTTGTGTTTCATCAGACTCCTGGTCCCCAGAAAAAGAAATGAGAGTGCATTTGCCTCCAGAAGGCCTGAGCAGCAATGCCCACCAAAGCTCTTTCATAAAGCAAACACTGGAAACACTAATGTCCATCAGGCAGAATGAACAAGTTCACTGCAACACAATCCTGTGAGGGAGCCTCTCAGAACATGGGGTGCTCGAGGCTGATTCTTGGGGAACAGAATGTGTCCTGTGCAGGGTCAGGGTAGTTGGCAGAGAGGAGACATGACAGGGTTCTGAGCTGACTGCACTAGAAGCACAGGGCCAGGAGTGTCATTCCCACTTAGAGTGGTCAGGTAGTATCCAAAGGGGCCAGAGTAAAACAGTGCAACCAAGGTCTAGGGAGCCCTGAGACCAGGGACACTACATAAGTTCTGGCCACACCCCTCTTCTGTAAGAATGCTAACGTGGGACAGGGGAGAGTGAGTGAGGGAAGGGCCGTACTTGGTGGGAGAAGGGGGTGCTGCTGGCCTGGAGCTACCAGGCCCTTTTACAGGAGGCATTCTTCTAGAGAGACCCACTCCAGTTATCTCTCCCCAGGCTACACCAGGCCTTAGTACAGCACTGACCCCACTCCACTGCCTGGAGAAAGTGAGAGGCTGCTGAGCACTATAATCAAAGGAACTCTCCAGAGGCTTAGGTGCAGCCCATCAGAAACAACCAGGGCCATTAAGACACTGGATTAGTGAATAAGGTAGGGAGTGGGAACCACCAAGAGCAGTCAACTATGCACACAATGTGTCTAAAGAACTGGAGTCTAAGCCAAGCAAGGTGGCTCCCACCTAAAACCCAGGCTTGGGAGGCAGAGGCAGCACTACTGCAGATGAGGAGGTGGTCAGAGTGATGCCGTGTCCCTTGGTGATATGGGGTGGGGAGTGGTGGGGTGGTACCTGAGTGGTAGCTGTACCATTTCCTTCACTCTGGCCCCTTCAGATACTATCTTACCACTGTCTCCTAAGTAGGAATGGCACTCCTGCCCTTTGAGGTCACCCTGGACTTCAGAGTGAAACCCTGTCTAAAACAAAGGATTGTGGACTGGAAGGATGGAGCCAAAGTTGTCCTTCCCATATGCACCGTGACAGCCACCTACCTATAATATATGCATATAGAATAGTAACTGTTTTAAACTAAACAACTAGAATCCTGATCTCTGTGATGACCCTTTGGGAAAGCCTGCTCCATGCAGGCTGACTCCATGGCATCCAGAACCAATGAGCCACTCCAGGGCAGACTGAGCTCTGCTGGACACAGCAGCTGACAAGGCAGTGCTACACAATGCAAACTTTAAGAACAAGGTTTGGGCCAATGGCGTCTTGGGACAGACTGGATTCTTCACACATCCTGCAGCAAGCACCCTGCTTTCCCACCCCAAACATCAGAATCTTACCAAAGTCTGTATGGCTGCTCATCCACCCAATGGCCTTGAGAGACACCAGGGCTAACAGTCCTGAGCCCACAAAGGACCCAATGCCAGAGAAGAAAAAGAAGAGTCCCATGATGGCGCTCTGCATGGACTTGGGAGCAGCTGAGTATGCAAACTCCAAACCTAGAGAGAAGGAAAAGGAGGCTACACTGAGATTACCTTGGTCACCATGAGGAACCAGCTTCCCAGCAGCACACACAGGCTCCACTGAGGTCTGAACACTCTCAGGATGACTGTCTCCTGGTTGGAGAAGTCAGGGCTGGTGCCAGCCACTTGTCCTATGGGACTCTTTAAAACACATCTTCTCAAGAAGTCAAAGTTCAGGGGCTGGAGAGATAGCTCAGTGACTAAGAGCACTGGCTGCTCCTGCAACGGACAGGGGTTCTATTTCCAGCACCCACATGGACGCTCACAACCATCTGTGATTCCAGTTCCAAGGGTCTGATGCCTTTTTCTGGCCTCCATGGGACACTATATGCATGTAGTGTACATACATACATACCATACACATAAAATGAGTAAATCTTAAAAAGTCAAAAGACTTGAATGTATCCTTGGGGGGGCGGAGGGGACTCTATCCATACAGACTCTGCTTCACAATCAACACAGCAGAATAGGTTCAAGCACCTATAAACTGAGATTCCCAGTGACCAGGTGGAACAAAGACAAAGCCCACCGTCACTAGTCACAGAATTCTGCCCGGGTT